ACAAAAAAAAACAGAATAATAGAAAACATTTTCAACAATTACGTTAATTTATATATTTTGTGTTTTATATTTTAATTGCAGTATTATTTTAAATATGAAAGGAATCCATGTATTGTTAATATAAAAACCTTTTTTCAATATTTAAAAAGTAATATATAACACCGTATTTAAAAAATATATAATATTAAAACGTTAATTGGATTATTATTTGTGTTTAAATGCCAAAGTTGAAGTTAAAAAAAAAACTGATGTATTAGATCAAACTAAAGCAAAGCTTTTCTGATTTATTTATTTTAATTACCATTTGTAATTTAAAGAGACTTTGTACTATTTTAAAAAGTAATTGTAATAAATGTGAATTCTAGGACCTTATATTCCTATATATTTTCTTATAAGACTTTCTGATCATATTAGGTTTGTAAATGGAATTAAGTATTAGCATCTTAGTCCTTAGCTATAGTTTAATTATCATGAGATAGCAACATGTTTTGTAATTGTTAAAAATTTCTTTTTTTTTAAATATCTCTACCCCTATCCTTCTTGCAAAGAAATTATCCAAGAGCAATAGTATTTGTGCATTCTTTATTTTATCCCAGAATTTATTAGAAATAACTAAAAAAAAATATTATAGAAATAATCAGAGTAATGCAGGGAGCTTTTTTGTTTTAACTGTAAATAAAGATTACTGAAAAATTGACTTACTAATATTATAAATGGGAAAGTTTGGATGGATGGATGGAAGTTTGTAAGAAGGTATCATCAGAACGACTGCCAGGTTGGCTGAAACTTGGTATAGATGTAAAACATTGTTTGGAATAACGCATAGACTACTTAACAAAGTTTTTTTTAATTAAATGCGAACATAGTTGAGAGCAAAATCTAGTGTATAATAACAATGTGTATATCGTTATAGAGTGCAGCGTATGTGCTGCGGCAGCAGCGGCGGCCGCGGCGGCGGCGGCTGCTGCAGTGGCCGCAGCCAGCTGGGCTTGCTGTGACTTGCAACCCGGCAAGCTCCACAGTTTACCGCACCTCCAAAACGGCCTCAATGGAGATACCAACCTTTACTGCAAGCCCAGTGAGTGATCTGTTATTCAACTGTCTTAGTTAATTTGTTTTCGATATCTGATAATTCTCTTTTTTCATTCTTATGTAACTTATGGTACCATACTTATAAGTTAATTAAATTAATTACAATTGTAATTCCTATAAGTTTTTTTGAACTTATTGGAATTATAAGAGTGTGTTAACAGTGCTTGTTTTTTTATCAATTTAAAATCTAACTAAACACTTAAGTTAATTTGATTATGTGTTCGGTTTAAAAATGTTTCACTTAATATTTTTAAAGATATTACATAATTCGCTTGAATAATTTTTCCAATATAAAAGACATAAACGCTTTTATAACGATAATTTTATAAATTTAATTATTTTTTTTAATATTAGATAATATAAAGAATATTGCGAGGTGACAAAATAAAAAATAACAATGTATTCTACAACTGGCAGTAAATACAAACTAGTTTTATTTTAACTAGCCAATAATTTATGAAGATGAACTATACAGGATTTTCAGTAATATCAATAATTCAACACAAGCTTTTTGATTCCTACCACAACTATAAAATAAATTAAATGTTTCAATAAATATAAAAGTAAATTTTATATACCTACTATTTTATATTTTCATAATATTATTCCGTAGGTACCACCCCAATTTAATAACAGGGAACGCCTTTATTTCAAATGCCGACGTCACTATCAAGGGGTCGGAGTCGAAGCTTTTTTGGGACGCCCTTAAATTATATTATACTTCAAGCGATAGATGGCAGTAGTAGCATCCGCGACAGTAATGCCATCTATCTATGAAGTAAAATAGAGGATACTTGACTCATCCACAATATTCAAAGGCACATTCGTTGTTCTGTGTTGCATGTAGATGGCTCTCGTTTAAACTATATCTTTGAACTTTTTAACTTCTCTTACGGCTACTAGCATGAATAAATATCTCGAAATAGTCCCATTTTATTTATTAGTCATAACTTTTAAAATGTTAATTATAGTGTTGTACAGTCATTATTTTATTATTTATTCTGATTCATGTCTATTACAAATCGATTTCTAAGAAGTATAAACATAGTCATTAACATATTGACGCACGATACGACTTTTAGAAATAATTAAAGGATGATAGAGTAAAAATAAAAATGGAAATAACACAATGGATAGTTCGATTATTAAATTGTTTTATATCAAGTAAATGTTTGCAAAAGTTTAATGTGTGGGAAAAAATGGAAATTTTACTTTAAATCAAACACAATATGTGAAATGAACAGTTCACCACACATTATCCCTTCTTATGTAAAGTTGCAGGTGCATTACAGATACAGGCAGGTGTACATAAACTTTTCATAACTTAATTCTAACTTAAGTGGATTATTAAGTAAATTGTATGCTTTCCATATTTTTATTACGTCATTTGACAATGTCATGTTTAAAGTTTTCATAAAGGAAAGTATTTATAATAAGAAAAAACAAACAAAAAGATTAAATCAAAATAGAGTAATTGCTATCAACAATAACAAGAAGATAAAAAGTTTTTGCATATAAATCTCATTTATTAGCTTGCAAATATGTAATTAAGAAGTCTCCCTTTTGTGGTGTGTGTTCTAGTGTGGAAACAACATAGAATTTTGATGGGTATTGCTTTTTAATACTGGTTATGAAAAAATAACGACAAATTGTTTTAATATTATATATGTAGCGGAACTCTGATAAATTGATATATTTAATTTAAACAATTTTGATTCATTATAATATAAACAAATTGTAGCCTTTTAACTATAATTGTTATCAAACAGCAAGACACAACTAAAGCTTTTTACCAAAGTCTCTTGGCTGCCAACATTTTTTTTGTTCCTTTGTATTTACCTAAGCTTTAACTTGGAATGCGAATCGAATTTCTAACAGACTTTATGTTATAACTATGCTTTTTATATCTAACTTTTCTTTACACTTGACCTGAATTTATTTTATTTCTTATACTTGTGACTTTTTCTAAGATAACAATTTCTGTTCAGGTAATTGTTTGTCGGTGATAAAGAAGGGGGAAGTGGAGCAACAATCGAAATTTTAAATAGATCTAATTCGTTTTATATTTATACGCTGGAAAAAAAATGTAGTTCGCAAACTAGCCAGTATTATGGGGAGAACAGATTGGAGAAAGTATACGTGACAATCAGTCGAGTTCCATTATTTTCAAAACTTGTCTTTCTTGCGCTCCGTCCATTGTAAGACGCTATTCGTGCATAATCATTCGTGGATTAGATGGTTGACAATAAGCCTGACGGGCGAGTTCGTCAGTTTGTGACGTTTTGATGAAGGGGACCTTTCACGGAATGTTTAGGGTTGAAGTGAATTTCCTGCACAAATCTAATTTCATCGGATGTTCTTGATAAATTTGAATATAATAACCTAATTACAAAAAATGTCTTGCACTGCACGTGTTATTCGAATTTGAATTCTTAAACATTAAACAGAAAAAAAAAATTGTTAGAACACGTATTTTATAGTCATCGAATCTGAACAAATGTGTCGAATGTGTTCTTTATATATTTTTGAGCAATAGAATTTTACTAATTATTTTAAATGTACTAACGTACCGAACAAGTTCATTTCTGAAACGCGCTTTAGTGCTGAATTGTCAGTCTGTTTAAAAAGACTTGAAAAGATGGACTAGTCAATTAAGGTTTTGGAAGTTTACTAAATGAGATTTGCAAGTCATTTCTTGGTAATCGGTTTGTCCTGTGTACAGCAATGGATGTAGATACTCGTATTTTGTTTTATGATGATGAATTGCTATGCTTACATTGGTGAAATTCCCTATTGGTAACCATTGAACATTTGATGTATCTCAAGAAATTACTTTACACAATTTTCTGACTAATTACATTATGTTAAGTAGTATAGAGTTATCTATATATTCATATGATAGTAGTCTGATTTTAAATATAATACTTATCTGATATGATACATTAATTATTGTAACAGGTGTTAGAGTAATTAACTTTTAGTGTGGTTGTTAAAGATTTTGTAAGAGGTAGAGTTGTGCGGTGCAGCGTGCGCCGGGCAGGTGGGGGCGAGGTGACCGGCTGCAGGTGACACAGGGACAAGAAAGTTAAGCTTTCACAGAAGGGAAACGAGTCCGCATGATGCGTATCGTCAAACGGCCCTTGTCACATTATTTCTTACTAATGATATGTAAACTGCGCACAATAACTTAATATTGGAGGCCTATTAATCTACTTTCCAATTTGATTGCTTGTATAAAACAATCTTATATAGGTGTGGTATAATTAACTCAGTCCTTTTGGTAATTTAAAAATTGTTAAAGTTACTGTTTTATTTTCAGCTTTTTGTAGATATTAAAATTTTATTACCCTGAGACGCTCAAGCCAATGTATTGAGTTGAAAATAATTAGACACTCTCTCCTTCAAGCCAATTTACAATTTATGTCTAATCAAACAATATATTAGGTTTTTTCTTCAAAGCTAAAACTATTGTGTAAAGTTACAAAAACTAGTTAAAATCTTATTACATGAAAGGACTTTTGAAGGAAGTTTTGTAATTTTTTAGAAAACTCATCTTCACCCGTCAATATTCTCTTGATTTTTAAACGAACTTTTATTCCTGCTCCTTGTATACTGCTACATGTGTAAATTTCAGTCTAAATTTTAATACATCTATTCTGGAAGGTTGATATTTTTTTTCCTATAATTCTATTGCTAAAGCTGTACTTTACGGGTAGAAATAAATTTTGTAAGTTGTCGTTGCTTCTTCGTGAAGCAATGTTACAGTTCTGATTTCCCGAGCAATTTCATTAGGAGTGCAGAAGGACTCTACAGCGGCAGCGAGGCTAGATTAGTCGTTTCTGTATCCCAGGCGCGCCAAGGAATGAGTCGTAAACTTATCGACGACACGGCGTCGCCAAGTGACATATTTCGGGTTGAGGTAAAGCTACCGACGCTTTCGGGCGGCGCACACGTTCCGTTAGCTTCTCTATTTTAAAAACTACTTGTTCGGCGATAGCGATATCCGGGAAGGGACGACCGCCGACCGCGACCGCATCGGCGCGCTGTGCCCGCTGCTCGCTGCCCGCTACTCGCTAGCGTAGCGTAGTTCACTACGCGCCGCACCGCACCGCACCACTACACTAGTACACTACCGCACCACCGATCGTTTTCTATGCAGTCGCAGTCGAGCTGCGTACGCGTCGCTGGCCGCTCCGCGCGCTCGCGCGTCCCCTCCCATGCACCCGAAACATTTTGAGACTTGTTATTTTTGAAACTAATCAAACGTTTAATGAACTTATAGTAAACGGAGTGCCTTCTCGTGCTGCGGATGATGTACGTCACGCAGAGGTGATATCAGTGGTGCAAGTTACGTTTTATTTTGATTAACATGAGCGGGAGGGAAGGCGGAAATGCAGTTCCGTCTTCGAGTAAGTACCGATTCCGATATTTTTTGAATTTCTTAGGCGCTGTTGGATGCTTCTTGCGCGCCTCGGTCGGCCGGGCCGGGTCGCGGGCTGCGGGCTGCGGGCGTTTGTTGTAGTTATCGGCGCACGTGGTGAGGGGTGAACGTTCCTATAATCAACTTATGTTAAAAGCTGTTGCATGCGCTGCGCCGGGACTCGTCGCCCTTATCGAGCGGATGTGCTCGCAGCGCCTGGGAAGGCAATTATAGAAATTGTTTACAACTGAATTTAAATTAATTAAATTGAGGTTAATAGTCTCGTTCCATTGATGTCACACATATGTGTGCCATGCCCGCCTGGTGTCGTTCTCGTCATTTTTGTGTCGTGTTGATGTTCTCGCATTATCACTATCAACAACAACGTATATTAAATTAGATGATTAGTTCATAGTTAAAAAAAACGTAGTGCGTACTACGCATTGCGCAATTCATTTCAACTGGTCTTGTTTACGATTGATAAAAAAATTTAATAAGAATTATATTATTTGTTAAATAAAGATACTCAATATTTAACGGACGGCTAGTTAAATATTTTGGTGCATCGTTATACGGTTCTCGATACGTGTTAAAATGTGTATGACGAGTTAACACTTTCAAATAACTTTAGAAAGGAGTTTGTAAACGATTTATCGAACAAAGTACGCATCGTGCAGTAATTGTTTACTATGCTAACCGTACGACTACGTTTGTGTTACACGCTCCCATGCAACCCGCATGCATAGCTAAAGTTTCCCAAACTCCACTTTATAGAGTATGGAATAAGGTGTAAAATGCTAAGTAGTTGTCATCTAATAAGTGTGGGTTACAGATATTAGTGTGCGTTATTTAGTTGACTGCATTTTAGAAGGACTTTAATCTTGTTTCCCCCTCCACTATTTTACTACGTGTTTTTGTCTTTGAAATACCGACGTGATAGTGACGGATCTTGTTATCGACAAAATTTGATCAACGGAATATTTTTTTATAAACAAAGTCGTCAATAATTAGTAATATCATAAAAGCTTGCTAAAACTATTTTGAAAGCTTAAAAATTGAATAAAATTGTATACATGTTAAATTCGATTGACATATTCATAATATAACAATATTATAACGCTTGAATGAAGCAACATTGCCGTAGAATAATGTGGACATACGTGTTTCCGAATGGAATTACTATTCATTGAGAGTTACAGAAGAACTGCCTATTTGGAATTTTTAGAAAGTCGATGTTAAGTAACGCTCGTCCCTACGACAGGGTTCGAGTTCGTAACCAGTCAATTAAATCTGAATGGTGGTACATTGGCCTGTCTCTTTCGCTCCAAGCCGCCGCTCCCCGGGACACAAGCGCCACTTGACGATGATTCATGAACAAATTCCGTACCTGCGATTGATAACACTCTAAACTACTCAATGAAGGAATGTTTTACTTTATTTTACTCGATTTTTAAACGAAATTAATTGTAATTTATATTTACATACTAAATTTGTGTTCTCTATAACTTTATTTTTTAAAATTTTAATACGTAAGTTATTGTTTAAGGCTTGTATTTTGAAATATACGGAAACGGAATCAAAACAAATACGGCAACAACGTAGATATTTTTTATGCCAAATCATACTATGATTTAGTTTGAATAAATATTCATTAATTATTTCTTTCCGCGAAACATGATGATTGTGGATTATAAACATCTTTAAATCGTGCTAAAATTGTCGGCCAAAGTACCAAACCCGTTTTGTTATTCATATGATGTTAGGTACTTCTGTGTGTCGTAAGTGTCGCGGCCCTTTGTTTTTTTTTGTCGTGTTGTTTATAAAGCATTTTATCATGTTCGATATACACAGAGAGGAAGTCGTAAAAAACATAATTAAGATAACAATACATGTTCCCAATAATGATTTAGTAATTCCCTCAACATGACAACATCGTGCTCTATTTAACGTTATCAATAATTAAAATTCGATAGTTCCCGGCGATACGAGTAGTCGCTTTGTGCATTATTTATCCGTGAAGCAGTCAACGATCCCTACCCTACTTTCCTTGTACTTGTTGTTTGTGTTTACTATAAATGTTGTGTTTATTTGAACGAAAACTCCAAGCTTAGCTTTTTTCGGTAGAAATATTTATAGCAGCAATCATAAACACTTGTAACATAACAAAAAACATGAATAAAGCTTGTTACACCTTGAAATTTTCTTAAAATTGATCCTTGATTACCAATAATAAACTTCAAGGTATGAAATTAAGCAAATGTTTTTCAATATTTAGTTAGTCATTGGGGTGGGTGTTTTGCTGATGACTAGTTGGACATACCAACAAAACAGAGCACAGTATTTCCCCTTCCTGTTTCCAAAATAAGCCGATACAGAATTAGCTCCCCGTTTCCAAATAACCAATATATATGTTGTAGTAGGGAACTCACCAATAAAGTTGGAATGTCAGGATTTCTGTCTTAAGCTCGTTATATACGAGGACATAGAAATATATTTAGGAATCCGAAAGAAAAGCATTCGAGCAGTAATGAATGTTGCGGAAAGATTAAAATAGCTTCGTGTTAAGTGCATTCGATCGAAGAGCTTCTAAATGTGTATACTTAAATATGTGAGCCGGGCGAAATATTTTATTAACACACATTCGTAGGGTTCAGGCCTGTGGAATGCAATCAAAAGTTAAGCATGCGTATAAAGTTTGAAATTCCAATGTGTATGTTGACGTCTGTCTTGGTATGGGCATAGATGCGGGCTGCGGGGTATCGGGGGAGGGGGGAAGGCGTCTCATGCGCAGCTCGCTCAGTAAACAGAACAGACACGCGGCCGCGGCTCCGATGCGCCGCGCCGCTACTGCGGCCGATGCACTTCGCCTTTGCCTTGCACGACTCGACGCGACGCGGCGCCCTGAAAACAAACTTGCACGACATTCCTCTGAAATAACAACGCCTTGTAACGGAACAGACATAGAGCTCGTAAAATTTAATCATGACACATCGACTACTATACATAGAAAGTTGAATTTATGATATTTCATTTTAACATTCTACTTTTCTTTTGACGTCTGACTTATATTAGTTGTTGTTATAAATTTATAAAAAAGTTTTTATTAACTCTCCCTGAAACAATTGAAATATACAATTTTCTTAAATATTAATTGAAATATTGTAAGAGTATATGTAAAAACTATTTAAAATATTTAACAAAAACTGACATGCACAAAACTACCAGTTATTTACATTCTCAAGAAATACGTTATAAAATAATATTGACATAGTCTTATGAAAAACGATTCCAAAGGTAAATGGGTTAAGATCTAACATATAATTACGAAAAAAATTATAAAGCGTAGTGTACATTTATAGAGCATATGTGAATGCACTCGTCCCCATTTACGTGAAGTCAACACGTCTCTTACCGGAATGCCCTGTACAAATATTACCAAGTCCCTTCAGTTCATTACGTTAACTCGACCAGAGAGAGCTTTTGTTTGCGTAAACGTCTCATTCAGTAGAGCAATGTTTTTCAACCTTTATTACGACGCGACCTCCTTACCATGTAATATTATACATATCCCATCTCACGATAAACGATTGGAAAAAGATCACAAGCGTACTTAGCAAACAAGCGATTAAAAAATAAGTCGCCGAAATTATTACAGTATTCAATATCCCCCTGCCGCATCCCCCTTGTAGTTTGCTAGGTTTATAAACACTACAAAAAAGGAACGTCCAATATTCGAATATTTTCAATACACTAGTTATATTTCGGTTAATACACCGCAGTTTCATTTGCATTGATATTTTCAATTAGAGCAAGGAATGTTAGAATATTAATTGGTAAAATTTATATTTCAAAACTTACATTTACAGAGAGAAACTTTTACTATGAGCAGGTGATATATCAGAGGAATTTATCAAAACAATTCTTAAGCTTACTGTAGAATAAAGTTTATCTAAGAACGATTATCGCTTCACCTATACAGAGGTATGCGGAATATGCATATGATGAAACGATACCCGCGTAAAACTCGAAATGAATGTTTACGCTTTCTCATTAATTCAGTATAGGGAATAATAAATATTGAGTATATGCGGCGGTAAAGTTGTGTCGGGCCGCGGCAAGGTGCAGTGCTGCGATGAATGAAGAGGTACCAGCGGCCAGCAACGCAACCTAAATACCGCGCATTCTCGGGTCCCCGCCGCCACCGCCGCCGCGCCGCGCCGCCTGGCCCGCCACGTGTGCCTGCGCTGCCGACTCTACCGCCGCCCGAAATAATATGCTTGCCTAACATACCACCACAATACGACGTCACAACACTTACTTAGCCACCTTCTACTACGATAATATTGATAGTAACAACTATTTTTTGGATATAATGTTATACAGAGCTTTTTGAAGCTTTCTTTTCTATTTGTATTTTTTAGTTTAACCCTAATATTGAGACACAAACTCAAAATTGACATTCATTAATTAGGCTTAACAAACGTATTTAAGGAACAAAATAGTTAATATATAATATTTATTTTTAAATATTCGTTAGAAGTACATCAATGTAAACTAGATGTGTCTCTACGCTGTAAAGTCTGATGGAATAATTTACCTGTACCCGGTAGTTCGTTTATTAATCACTGATGATAATATTCTTTTCATCGGTATTCTCTCCTCCGGAACTTAGTCATTGTCTATTCAACTTACATACCTATGTTTTTTTTTTATTTGACAGGAAATATCATGTCGATTAGTCATTGAAGTTCAGCGACTACAAAACTCGCCTTTGCGTATTAATGAAGGTTAAAGTTATTCGGATGTTTAAATTCGAATTTGATATAAACACGTACGTAGTATTAATTAACTCCTTCAAAGCGAGGTCTTCAACCCACAAACCACCACGAACGGCGATATCTATACATAAAAAGAGTTCATTCTTTCGTTCGGTTCCCACGTTATTTTTTATAAAAGAGTCCGATAAGGGGAATAGTATACCCTTTCTTAGTACTGTAAGCGATCGTGGGCCCTTATTTATTGCTAATAGATTTCCGAACGGTAAAGTATCTAAGTATGTGTGCATCTAAAATAAGGGGCCCGGCCACTTAATGCAATCTAACAAATAGTCGATTAAATTTAATTAGATTTATAAAATCTATTCTTTTCAAAACTTGTTATTTTACAAAAGATTTTAACTATTCAATTTTTAGGTGTTCTTAAATACGACAATGTATAGAAATTAATTACATTACATCTTAATCGAAGCAAATAAAAGCATAAAAAAAATTTAAAACGGACGTTATTTGCTATACTTTTTTTAATGAATATTCTTTGTCTTTTTACTTATGATTTTACCTTTGACATTAAGGGATAAATAAGACGAACTGTTGGAACAGACATTATAATATTAGGTCTTTTATAACTCTTCGTGTTAAAAACGGACGTGTAGCTTTTCCTTTTAGCTTTTAAGACTGTACTAGCGTAGTAATTTCGACAGAGAGTTAATCGTTGGCTGAGTCATTTAAACCCACTTTTCACTAAATATGACCTCATCGTCTAATTAGTGATTCAGGGATCTTCAGATAAAACATACTATATTTAAATATTAGTAGAAAAATAATTTCCATTCCTATAAACATTGCTAGGTTAGTAGTTTTAACGATAATATTATAGTCAAATGAAATTCCAACCTACGACCGATAGATCGGTAGTCCGAATCGTACAAAAATTTAATTTTAAATATTTTTTTGATAAAATATAGGTTTATTAAATGCAAAATTTTAATGAATGCTAGTGTAAATAAGAATTAACAGTTACGTAAAACATAGACAATACTCTTCCGCTCTATACCTAGTAGTAGCATCATAATAATGCAGTTTAAATGGTTTCACATAGTCCCTTTTTTCATTAATTCATCATTATAGAGTCCCTCCATCCTTTTATTCTATAATAACATGAATGCTTATTAGTTCGACCTATTTAACTGCAGACAGTGCAAGTACGTTGGTATGTACTCAGTTGTATTTATGTGTAGGTAAGACGAGACTATACCTTTGTTGAAATATGTAGTTTTATAACTATGGTTGTCTTTGCATTACTATTTTAAGATGTTCTATTTCAACAATATTTTATTTACATTTAAATATCATAGAAAATTAAAGGATTGGAAGTACGGTTTTTTGTATGGTACCGCGTTCTTAAGATACCTATTTGATTGTCAGTGAAGAAATTAAAAAGCTTGATAAGCTGTGCATGTGTGTAAAATATCTATGCGGAAAAATTTTGTATAAAGTAGTCACCAAATAGTTCAAATAAGTTGATCGTTCATAGAAATAACTCCGATAAAGGATCTCTATAAGGTCCAAAACCAGTCGATTCTTATACGGCTTTGTGGGCCGTAATCGTTTGAGTATTTTATTAATTGTAATTATAATTATGTTTATCAGGTGCGGGCGGAGGCGTCATAGGCGTGACGCGGCGAGGTCGCTGCAAATGGTTCAATGTTGCCAAAGGCTGGGGCTTCATCACACCGGACGACGGCGGACAAGATGTCTTCGTACACCAGGTTATTCTATACATATGTACATTAAGCAGCTCAGATATTGTAAACGATAAACTGTCACGGCTGCAAGTAGTTTTATTGACGATGCTTGAAAGATATTTCGTAAATAGAATCTTATATAAATATTACTCCTAGTATGACAAAATAGTTCACTTTTAAATGTGTGAAAGTGTCTCGGAAGTAGTTGGGGTTTGTCCAAGTTTGGCGAAACTCGTGAATGAATTTTCATGCAGTTTTTAAAAATAAACCTAAGCTAACCTTCCTGTATCTATCATATAAAATTTTAAACTATTATAATAATTCGAATATATTATGTACCAAGTAATGATAGATAAGGTTTACTTCTAAGTTCTTGGGAAAAAAATAAATAGTTTGAGCGCGCGCTGCCGTATCTAGCGTTTGACCTGATAGTGTGCTTATTTGTTTGTTCGGCTTATCAAGGCCGGATGTTTTTTCTATACATTTACGCCACCAAATTTGTGATTCGTTTGACTGCAGCAACGCTAGCGGTAAAATTTTATATTAGGTCAAGACTACGTTATTGGAAGTTGATAAGGTTTCTTTTTTCTTGCGCTCTACTCGTTCTTGTCGTGTTACAATATACATTGAATAAGAAATGAATGCATTTAATTTTACGGTGTTATGCATGTACTCTGAGGTTATAGGTGGCGATGTGTTCTTGTTTGTTTCTATTGCATTGTAGCTTTTGGATTATCTCCTTATCGACAGTAATCATTTGGATGACTGTTGCACTCGTAGTGTTGAATTGGTCACTCAGACACTTTTTATGCGTAGATTTTTTATGAAATCTACACTATGGATCAGCTTATATAAATATTATTCAACATTGAGTTTGACTTAGAATTGTTCTAATAACGGATTCGGGTAATACTTGCGAGTGGTTTTAACACAAGCACAATGATTTATCAATTCCAGAGCGTCATTCAAATGCCAGGCTTTAGATCACTTGGCGACGAGGAGGAGGTCGAGTTCGAATGCAAGGAATCGGAGAAGGGCTTGGAGGCGACGCGTGTTTCAGGGCCCTCTTCAGTCGACTGCCAGGGATCCCATCGCCGCCCGCTGTCCAAAAAACGTTTCAGGAAAATACGGTTAGACATTTATTTGAATTGTATGGTAAAAAATCATGTTATAATTTAACAGTGTTAAATTTAATTTATTTTTTTACTGATGTTTAATATCGACGAGTTAATCCTGGAGTCTTCACACGCACGATAACATTATACTTTCATTATTTGGATACTGAAATTATTGTCAGCGTATCTATGAATATTTTTGTTATTTACAGTTGCTACAACTGCGGAGAGTTTGCTAACCATATAGCCGCCAAGTGCGCCATCGGACCACAGCCAAAGAGATGCCACAACTGCAAGAGCGAGGACCATCTCATTGCAGATTGCCCCGCTAAGGTAATTACATTATGTATATTATAAAAAAGAAACTTAATTCATAATTTAAAAATACGAAACATGCAGCATAGATAAAATTCAGAATTTCATTGCTAGATTGTGAGAACTATATCGCTTCAATTGCATAGTTTCTTTTTCATTAATTCCGGCGTATTTTAGGCCAAAACATTTGACATCCATTTTTCTTTCATTTATTTCATTGTTATTCCTTTTATGTTGGTCTTTTCGTACTAATTGTAAAGATTACAATTTAATAGGTGGAGAAGAAGAAGGACGAGGGCCAGTCGAAGAGTTCGGGCAGTTCTTACGGCAGCCAACAGAGCAGTCCCCAGCAATCGTAATGCGATACAAAACGTTTGTCTTACATATGTTTAAAAAATATCGCTAAAAAATCTACATTTTTTATATCAACTATATTTGACAAACGTATATTTTAATGTTTGTGTTATATCAAAGGAACATGGAATAGAACTACCTCATTTTTAAAACATAATTTTTAACTAAATAAGTACAAGACTGATGAGTACAAATCAATTAATTAGTACAAAACTATTTTAACTTCTTAATCTTTATGACCTAATTTTTAACGTAACCTAAGTACAAATTTTTGTGTTCGAGTGACGATACCATTTTACGTATTTCGTATACCCAAAGTGTGTGTTTATATCATTATTATTATTTTGTTACTATATTCTATTATGGTCGACTTTATGTTATTTTAGAGTATAATTAGATTTATAAATTTATTATGATTGGCTATGAAAGAAATATAATAATTAGAATCATTTCATTTTAGAATAATTATACAAGACGTAAAGAAGATTTAATCAACAAATCTGCATGTTCTTATTAATGAAAAAAAAATATCTTAAAGAAACAATTTAATTTACATCATTTTTTAAGACACGATAAGAACCTATATAAAAATATCAACGAGTTTAAATACTTATGTATTTATTTGATAGTTAATCGTATATGTAAAGGTTTAAGAACAATTACTCTTCAACATAATAATTGAATATTAAAGGCGCTTAGCTACTTTGAGATACACCAGACACATCACATAAATATTTTAATTTAACTTAAATCAATAAAAGCAATTTATTCATTCTATAAATTTTTAACATTTTATATAATAATATTAAAAATTTAAAATGCAACAAAACAACAAAACTCGAGTTAAGGAGACTAATGTTTGTAATCTATTACTAGATGGCGCTATTATCAATCTAAAATTTACACCTTTTTAACTTGCAAATCTTGGAATGTGCAACTAAATGAAACAACCAAATATATGGTTAAGTTAAATATTTTTTCAATACATTTATGTGCCAAAGTAAAGTTGCTAATAATATTTGATAGCACATATTTTTAGTCAAAGTCATTACACAGTTTATTTTTTTATTTTTGTCCGTTGAGTTCGTTGTAATAAGTTTAAATACATTAATATTGGTACAAAAAGTGTTACTACAATCGTTAAATGCATTGAAATTACTATTCCATTATCAACCTACAAAAATCTTAAAGTAAATTTAATTTTAAAAAGAAATTTAAATGTAAAAAAGCAATCAAATATTTTAATCTTTTTTGTTTGCTAAATTATACAAATAACAATAAGAACCTTAAAATAAACTTGACGAAAAAATTTCTATAACGAAACGTTACAAAAGTTGTTAAGGCATCATTCATTTTCTTAAATTAAAGCCAATTATTATAGCTTTTAATAACCCATCGATTCATAGTTATAAGTCAAAATATAATAACCTTAGCATAAGATTAGGGGGAAAAACTAACATAGTAATATTACTACAAAGTTATTCTTTAAAAACTATAAAAAGTTAGATAATGCAAGTGTAAAAGTTGTATGTTTAAAAAGTAGTTTTTCAGATTTTTATTTGATTTCGTACCTAATTTTTGATTAAAAAAAAACTACATTCGAACCTGTTTATAAATAATATTATTTGTATTTTTGTTAATTGCCAATATTTATGTTTCAGTTATATTAGCTAAGTACAGTCGGAGTAAAAAACGTTCGTCACATTGAAGAATACATTTTATTGCTCTAAAGATTATTATCTTTAATTAAACATATTTGATAAAAATATTAGATTTAAAATATAGCTATTTTGTTATGTCAAGAACGTTTTTATTCAGTTTTCTGATTAAATTTTAAATAGTTTGGTACGTACTAAGTGTGTGCAACTTGATAAAGAAATGAAAAATAGTAGAAGATTTTTTATCCTGACTGTACCTTGGATTCAATTTAGTGATTACTAAGATAAGAAGATTAAAGTATAAACTACCTCTCTTAATAATAGAAATATATCGTAAAAATATTTACACTTGCAAATGAAAAATATCTAAGGTATTATGAATACGGGTTTCTTGCATTTTTAATTAATAATAGTTTAGTTTAGTGATAAGTTTATTAAGACTAATTTGAAATCATCTACCTCATAATTTAAAGAATATTAAATAGAGTTTATTGCTAAGTTAATATTTTAAACATATACAAAGTTTAGCTATTATAATCTTTCATTTTCAGATTGCCGATTAAGAATAGTTTCGTATTTTCTATGTTTAAAGTTTACAATTTGTTTTTCTTTTTTTATTTTTCAAAGAAAAATAAATGATAAAATATAAATGATGTTTTATTTCATATCAACCATATGAAGACAACACAATACAGAGTCCTTTAAAACTCGTTAATTAGTTAAGAATTTTAGTTAAGAAGAGACTACTGCATTCGATGCTAAAAAAAAAGATTACAGTATTTTGTATATTTTCTTTACATTAAGTGTTATTTAAAGTAAATGTCTTAAATCGTGGATTTCTGACTCCGAAATCTCCGTTTTTAACATGTTATCTCTGTGTTGTAAAAGAATAATGATAGTGATAACGATTTTATACAGATATTCTGTTCTCAGAAACTAACGGTTATCGGTTACAACCGCAGGCTGCAGATAAAAAAAAAATAAAAACGGTTGATTTATTTTAAACTTATAGCTAAACGCGAGAAAGAAAGGAAAATCTTAATGGTTTTTATTCTATCAGAGTATATATGAATACTGCCATCTAGTGCCCAAGTGTGTCGTTACGAGGTTTTATGAATGCCGCCTGCAGGTTACTGTTGCTGTTGCTAAATAGTGCATCATTTATGTGCAAGATTTGCGATGTTAATTGTAAGTTCAAATTACGCCATATGATTTTATAAATAAAAATGTGAAAATCATATAGAGCTTCAACAATGGCTATTTAACAAGTAAACTATACCCTAACATAAACGGAACTGCAAATTACTTCTACCACGTGTTGATGCAATATAAGAAACTAATTAGATTTTACTTCTAGTCATAAGTTCTAGACAGCGGTACAAATTATTCTTGCAAGTTATCTTCGAGCAAGTTGATAATCGCATCAGCGGGATGAATTGTGCAGTAAATGAGCGCGAGGCGAGCGGTCCTCGGAGGGCCGCGAGGGCGCACCGAGGAAACGTCACGTTTTTCATCGGGGCCGGGCGAAGACGCGCACGGAGGATGCAGCAGTGAGGGGCATGGCTCCCCCCGCACGCCACCGCCATGCCACCCCCTCCCCCCTCGCCCCCGCCTCCTCCCCGCGCTGACGTAACGCTGCCGTGTCCGCCCGCCCTAGTATATGTCGCGCCGCGCTCCGACCGCCCGAGCGAGCACGCCACTGGCGCGCCCTGTGCCACACCAGTGCTTATCACTTGACGTTTCCCATCTTGGCCTTCTGATTCGGTATTAAGTTCGTTAACAAAACGTGGTGCTTACTGCAGTTCACACGCTCATCTTATATTAGTATCGTACTAGACGTAGATTGACTCCGCCCCCGCAGCCCGCAGGCCGGATCGGATGCATCGATGTCATTCCTCAATAACTTGTCGTTAACAGCGTTTCAAAATCTTCTTTCACGGCGCTATCGTGTTCAATATCGGCCAAATCGGTCGCTACTTCTAAACTACTAGAGTATTGAACCGCTAATCTGATTATTGGAACGTTGCTCGACGGTACATGTGATGTTTAGGATATATCTGTCAATACAATTTCTTGTGTATCTCTTTTGCATCTAATTATAAATATCATCTTTGCCCTAAAAAAGCAATCTAGAATAAAACAGTAATAAACCTTTGGCCTAGATGTGTTGAAGGTTTTCAGCTGTTTTACTTTAAATGCTATTTAAAACCGAGACGTGCAACACTGCAGCGGCCCTAGTTCATTTATAAAGTTTATGTAATACGGAAAATAGGAAGCGAACATGTACGTCAGTAACGCATACGACTAGGCGACTTTTGGCGATTTAATCACGTTTATAAAATTATCAAATATTTGTCACAGATATATCTTAATCGTTCGTGATTTTTAAAATGTGAGAATATATTTACGTTTTGTTCTATTAGCGTATAATTTGGGTGATAATTCGATACATGTGCTTATGGTAAGTTAGTTACTGGATGTGGCATCGTAGGTAGTGTTGACGATGGCTTTTAGACAGTAGTGCATCATACAGTATTCTGTATCACGTTATGTACGGTGCTCGCTGAGGCGTATCACTCGGTAGCTGACTATTAATGACTGTCATTCATCGTCATGTATGTAGGTAGAACTTCATTAATATAGAAGCATTATTCATGGCATCAACCTCTAAAACCGCAATACAATTACGTTTTCTGAAAACTGTCTACATGACTGAAGTTTTTTAAATATTACTTTGGAAGCGTCAGAAAGAATATTTTACATTACCACGGAACCTAAATAATTATATACATAATAATTTCGATTTATTACATTTCTGATAAACTATTTTATTGAATTTTTCGTCATAAAACATGTAACTTCGTTCTAACTACGTTCTGTAACGTTAAGTAGATGCTTTGTACGCTTATCTTACGCAGCAGTTAACATTTTTATTTGAAACGTATGTATTAAGTTGTAAATAAGTAAGCTAGATATGCCAATAAGTTGTATTTACTTTTAGATTAAGATTTCTGACATAATTGTATGTATTTATTTGGTTTTTATATTCCGGTTTCTCGTACTTCAAAATGTATAATTACTGTGTCCAATAATACCTCAAGACTAGACAAATATTACATTATTTAGTTGAAAAAAAAACTGATAATTTATTTTTAGTTTAAGACTGTATAAAACTTCTTGACAGCAAAGAATAACAAATTTAAATCTAATATTAGAATGCTATAAATATCTCCGTTTCTTAAGGCCACGTCGAGTTACCTGTCAACTCATAAAGTGTACACAATACTGCATAAGAGTAATTACAACTTAAAAGACTTTCGTAACAATATTTTTTCTTAAAATATTTTATTACTACTATTTTTCGTTTTGACAGTTTGAGTAACTGCCAATTCTTTTAAATGTATTTGCTCAATTTATCCACAAAGTTTTTAAAAACTCATAAAATCAACTCAATTAAATAAACTTTACATATATAACATTGCAGTAAATATTTGATATTAATTATTCCAAAAAATTTGTTTCGTATAAAATTATACGAAAGTTTAATAAAAATATCGTCGTTATGAAGTCAATTAAAAAATAAGTTGGTAAACACAAATACTGATTTGATAGAATTTGATATGAGCCATAAAATTCTATGAAATATATACGACATGTATCCAAAGCATAAATTAATCAGACTTCTTAAGATGTAGACTAAGTACACATAAAGGGCTAAATATTAAATAATAATAAAAATAATTCTTAACTTACGTAACACCCTCGGTCAAAGGCTCATTTCTTTATAAACCAAACGTTCTTTCACGATGTCGGCGACTTCAAAACTTTTTAGCAACGCATAGGTCTAAGGCAAGCCTATTAGTTAATACACTCGCTGGCCTATTTAGCTTTTATAACGACTGAGTTCAGCTTAAACTGCAAAATTACTTAAGATGGCAACCAAGTTGAATTCTTCTTCAAATAAACGCAAGTATATAAGACTGTATGTATGTAAATTTTAAAAATACAGTAATGATAATAAAAACATATTTCAAATTAGGACATAAACATGAATCCGTAGAGATTTTTAGTCCAAATTTTATGTGAAGTAATCAAATCTTTTAGAACAAAAATGTCGACTTGCAATGCATAACTAAAGAAACTCTTGCACGCCAGAGATCTTACTGAGTAATACGTCCTGCAGTTTTTTCGCAGCCCAAAATACGGCTAGCAGTTGAGTTTCAACCTGTTAATAAAAAAAAATCATTAGCAGTTAAAATAAAGTATAAGATTATAATTAAATATTGAATAAGTACCACAATAAATATACAAGGAATTTATAATTGTTAAGTAAACTTGTGTACCATATTTTAAAACAACGATGGAAACATTTAATACTATTTAAAGAGCCATAATAATTGTAAGTGATAATAGCGTAGTTTTTAAAAGCACTAGTTTGTCTGTGTTAAAAATGTAACTGTGTTTTAGGGTTGTGAAAATCAATACGGGTGGTCGCTGCCTAATGCACACATTCATACCTCGCGGAAGATGTTTGAAAGACTCGTAAATATCTCAATCCTCCGTGAGGGGAAAAGTACGAGGGTATTTACTTTTATCTCTATTAAGCTCCCGCGTCCGTTAGATTTAGAGCTTTACCTGATCGAAAGGTCTCAAGTTCTATTAATTGCACTGTGTACGTATGTACATATGTATATTTATTACATTTTTACTTACGCAACAAATATATAAGAAAAACTTTGATCAAGGATGGTGGTCTAGTACAAGATTGATAATTAGATCACCCAATATTACTAATATTATAAAAGCGAATGTTTGGATTCATGGATGTTTGTTACAACGGATCATGATGAAATTTCACATAGATGTAGAGCATAGTCTGGAAGAACACTTAAGCTACTAATAAAGTTTTTTTTATTCGGACGGAATTGCGGGCGATAGCTAGTAGAAGTATAAATGCGAAAATGTACTGTACGTAATAATCGAGTGACTGGTGCAAGGCTCGTACCCAATTTGATTCTATAATCTCTGCTAATTCCTTTGGGTTATTTGTTGTTTTATTCGGCAAATAATCAACATTTTACCAAAAATAGTAGTTATCAGTGAGCATGATGGTTTTATGTTGAAAAATATGCAATGCATTTCAAACGCAAATAAAAAAATGTAAATTGAATATTCATTTTCTGTTAATTGTGTTATTCGATGACCGCAAGTAATTAAACAATAGTTAACTACGTTCAAGGTATGATGATTGCTGTGTTGATTCATTAAAAAAAGTATTGAATTGCTACGAAAAAGCTTTTAATGATGCAATCAAAATGTTATAAACTATGTTACTGCATAAAGGTGGAACGCTATGGTTAAAGGGGCTAGTTTATCTCAAAGCTTTTATTAAAATTTGTTTAGGCCTTACAAAAAATAACGGTGTGAAAAATTCTGATGCAACGAAATGCATTTACAAAACTTGTTAAAATAAATATTTTGAATTTGAAATTTTAACAATATTTTAACATATACTACGTAAGTATTTACCTATTTATAAATACGGTTAAGATGTTGTTACACTTATTATTTAATTAAATTTTTACGCTTGGAACTGGGGGCTTAATCCTCGATTGAAACGATTAAAACGTAATCGGTTTATATTATTAAAATGTTCTCGCACTTCATCCATTAAAAGATTGATCATCAATTTGTGAATGAATTGGAATTGTGTACTTTTAAACAGTTTTGGTTGTTCCGAAGCTTAATAATGTAGCTATTAAAATATTCGCAAGGAAAAGCTTCATTAAATACTACTGATTTCGTTTAAAAAAAACGACTTTTATTAATATTAAAATTTCCTTGTAATTTTCTTAAACCACTTCTTTACATAGCTGAAATATAGCATTAATTTAAAAAGATTACGTATATTAATGCATATTCTAATTATGTTTCACCCTAGATAGAATTATAAAAAGGTTTCATATTCAGGCTAAGCGAATTTCACTCCAACTATGAAGAATTATAACATTCTACGTAGCGAAATTAAGTTAACTCTTATCATATTTCACGTTTGACCCACTCTCGTGTATGTGAATAGTCGAACATATAGCGGTGAGATCTGACGAACACGCCCAGAACAAAAGCCTAACTGCGCTGTTACATTAGATAACAAAATACATCAAGCTTAGGCGAAATTGGAATTTGGCTGCATTTTAGTTTTTAATCATTTGGATTATATTATGTTGAATTAAACTTATAACTGGGTGAGAACGTGTAACATTGTATATAACAGTCTAAATTCATCCTTTTTCCGAGTTCTTTAAGTTATTATACGTATGTGATTGTAATTTTTACGTATTACGTTTACGTATTACGTTTTTGCGTCCCGGAGGCCTAATTTAGTCCTCTTTCCCTTCCCAACTTTTTCTTATAAGGAAAGGATTGGAAGTGGAAGTGGACTTTCCGGATGAGAGGATGCATGGAAAGGGAATATATTTTCATTCTGTGCATCCTCTCCTCCGTCGATGAAAGGTAGGCAACGCATATGCAACTGCGTATGTCTATGGGCAACGGTCACTTCGCTATGTCAGCGATTTCAGGTGGCCGCTCGCTCGTTTGCCACCTTATGATATAAAAAAAAATTACTTTTCGTTTTTTTCCAAAAATTTGCTGCTTTGGTTTATGCAGAATTCTTGTGGTCTGTCTCAATTTCAATGTATCCAAGAAAATTTATACTTACTATTTAACCTTAACTTAGGAACTAAAATTTATTTCGCCGTGAGTTGACTTAAGGTGGTAGTAGCTCTATATTACTTAACTTTTATTTATATTTTTTAGCTTTTAACGGACGGGTTTCTTTGGATTGGCGACAATATGGTACAATAACTGATTTTAGTCTTGCATCGCGTTTCTACTGCCTAAACTTACTCAATAACATATTATTATTTAAACCCTCATTATCTTTGAAAACGTACAGTTATTTTTGCATATTGACAATAATAAGTATGTCTGGTACAGATGTTCCGGAAACGATAATATGTTTTGTCTATTTTGTATGAAAACTTTATGGTTAAACAATATTTACCAGTTTGTTTTTAACATTTCGTTGATTGATTTAAAAACAAAAATTGAGACCACGACCTTTTTTATAATCGCGTAGAGCAAAATCTAGATTAAGGACATAGACATATAATCGTAGACCTCTTATGCGTAAGGGGTTGCTAATGAGTGAAAGAAGTAGGGACATAAGTAAATAATTTACATTTTCAACTTTTTTTATCTGTAGTACTAATTTTCAATGATAATATTTGCATTAAGTATGGTTCAAATTTGTTCGTTTTGATAATATTATATTATAGTTCCTGTAAGCTTTGTATAGAACGTACAGTGTTCCTTTTGTCTATATAAACAGATATTTTCAATTTTTAGTTTTAGGGATTGTTTTAAGATTTATATTATATTAATTATTCCGGTGGTGCGATATTGGATAATCTCTACTGTTAAAAATTTCATAACATATAATTTTTTTTTAATCGATTAAGAAACAAAGCTTAGTTGTGATCAGGCCTTATAATTAATTAAATTAATATTGATAAGGGCTTGCGTACCGTGTCGTAGTCTAGAATGAACTATTAAATCAGTCGGAGGGCCACAGCGAGCGAGCATCCAACGGTCATGGACCAAAATCGAATGTCTCGGGACGATGCGCGCGCACCGCCCTCCTCCGCACCTCTCCGTACTTCCATTGATGATCTTTTCAATCTCAATATACATTCGTAAAACCACCATATGTTATTGTTATGACGTATAAGAATTATTCTTGAAGCTGATTGTCATTCAGCTCGTTATACCTAGGATTCATGCGGTTATGCGTTTAGGTTTCGTATTTCCTAAGGGTTCTGTATGAGCGAAGTACGGTGGGCGCTGTCCGCGCTGCGCTCGGTTGGGCGTCGCTGCGTCTCGGCTGGCAGCGGCGGCGGGCGGTGGAGGGTGCGGGCGGTGCGGGCGGGTGAGGGCGGGCGGCGGTGTGCGCACTCGGCGCCGCCACGCACGCTCGCGGCTCGCCGCGCGACCCAGTCCGCGCTGACGTTTAGCCGAGTCGCCGGTGTCGCCCCGACGCCCTGTCGCGCAACTCGCTTTGCCGTGTCGCCGCATATTCTATTCTGCGCACTTTGACGTTAACGAGGGCCTAAAGTTGCGGACTAGGTAGGTTGCCGTCCGCCGTTTGGTGGTCGGTGGTCGGTGAGCGGTGACCGTTGAAGCGAGAGAGTGGTGGCATCTCGCTGCGGCGACAGTGACGGCGACGGTTAGCCTCTCTGGTGGCCGCCGGCGGTGTTTACACGCCGCGCCTGCACCGCGCCGCCCCGTGCGCTCGTTCGCTGCATACACCCCTCATATTGTATTCGTCGCTGTGAATTTTTAACTTTTCCACCAACAGACTACAGAGGTATTTAAATGCTTGTCAGAATCGAGTCTCCGCGGAGAGCACAGTCGTACTACATTAACTAGTGTCACGTACCGCTCAAAGCATACGCATCGATACCGACTTCTCATAGCCCATTCGAGCGATTTCACAACTCTATAACTATGGGCGCTAAAGAGAGCGTGGAGGCTGCTAAATTTTCTGCGCAAAATTGGAACAATTTCGAGGTTCGTAATACCTTACAATTAATTTGCACATGGAGTGTTTGTATTCCCTCCCACCTCGTGTATGTCTATAATATAGGTATTTTTGTCGTATTTTAAAATAAACTTCGATTATTATTAACGTTTAGCACCGTTAAGTAACGATCTACTTATGCATGTTCACTTTTATTATAAATAAACTCTTAAAATATCTAAACTCCTAAACCGGTTATCTAAAAAAATTAAATAAAACCTAAGTGCTTTTTTACCTATATGTAAATAAATTTATATCTTTAACAATCTATGAATTATAAAAAGTTTTTATTCATAGAAATCCAGTTATTTACAAATATATACTTAAAATTGAGTCTGTCAGTATCTGGATCGGATACTATGTTTACATTAAAATTTTAAAACATAACTTTTAAATTGTGATAAATAAATAATATACACTTATGATACAAAAACAATATCTTAATAAGCTTGCATGTGTGTGTGTGTTTGTGTTTGTTATATCACAATACGTTGCGAGGCGTATCAATTTGTGTGAGTAAGCTTCCTCGATTAGCACACACTGGATTATAATCTGTGATTGACACGATTACACTTTAGTCTAGACATATTTAGCTTGAGAACTAGGTTGACCCACATACACCTATGTAAAATCTCTATCGGCTTTAGAAGACTCGCGATCGACATAGAAATGCGGCTCTTGAATATTAATTATTATTTGATAGCAGCGACTTACTCGTTTAGTTCAAATCCAATATAAAATGACAGTAAACTTTTCAAGATATTCGGCCAACACTTCTATCGAGACTTCGGCTTTATTAGCTTTATCCGAGAAGAAAATAAATGTCGAACGATATTAGAGGTTACATTTTATTAAAGTCGGAGGTGTGTCGGGTAACGCTGCTTCAAGCGTTAGTAGGGCCTTGTACAGTATACATAGGTATATTTACAAGGTTCTAAGCTCGCGTTAGCTCTGTGTATTCCGACATTAGGTGTTATGCATAGGGAGAGAGATAAACAACTTTATAGTGTCATCAATATTTATTATTCAATACATGAATACAAATAGCCAATGAAATGTTTATGAAATATTTAAGCACGAACGTTCGATATAAAGATATTACGATAAATTTGTAGTTATCATGAAACAAGATATTTTTAATAATTTTTTCTGGCTAATTTGCACTAAAATGCGCATTTTACACCATTACCACCGTTTACTTGTAAATTATTCAAAGGCAATTAAATTGCAATTTATTTTGAATATAAATAAAATTGTTAGTAAATTAAAATATAAGTGGGCCTCCAATTGATTTTGAAGAACCTAAAGATATAATAGTTAATCTTACTCAAGTACTGAATATGTTGTTTCAAATTTGCTTTCATGCATGTTCATTTCATACCATATTTATTTTCATCCCAAATACTTCTTTGAATATAAATGTAGCTATATTATTAATGAATTTGGATGTAGGCTTATCTGTCACAATAAAAAAAAAACTCAACATTATAAAGGTGTATGTGGAAACAAAATATTGTTATAGAAAAGGTTTTTAAAACTACAAAAATTTTAAAGGTTTAAATAATTGTTGTTCTCACATGACTTTAAACGTGACAGATAATTCTACTAAATAGTACTGCATGTTCGCTCAGCCTTAATAACATCAATATGTTTCCTTTAAACTTATCCAGAGTAAATATTAAATCCGCATATCCTTCGAAAATTGATTTAAGTTAATTCAATGAATGTGAAATTCAAATATTTTGTTAATTTCTACCTTTATAACCCTACCATTGTAATTCATAAGTGCACTAATGTAAAACTAATATTATATTTTAGTTTTATTATAGAAAATTATAACGTTGCGCATAAATTCCAGCATGGCGTTGTGAAACATCACTATAGGCACGGAACCCAGCGCTCGCAGAGCCTTAACCGCGGCCACTCGTTGTCGCGCACTGATGGCACCTGGTGACATCACGGGACCGCGGGTAAGACATGTACACAACACTAATAACACTCACGGCATCAATATCTCGCCGATCCCCAACCACGGCCATTCGGTATCGCGCAATGATCGTACCTGATGACATCATGGAACCGTAAGTAAGACATGTACACAACACTCACAACACGATCGACGCAGCATTAACATCTCGCCGAACCGCAACCGCAGTCACTTGCTGTCAATCATTGATGAAACAAGACTATATAGGCACAACACCAAAGCCTTGTAGAACCTGAATCGAGACCGCTCGTTGTCACGTATTGAAATCACCTATCGTTGGTACATTATTTTGATGCATTTGGCGGCAGAATGGTTGTTGCAATTTTGCTTTGAGTGACAATGAATCTTTTTATATGACCTATCTTACCAATATCTAGAATATGAATATAAACAAAGGAAAGTTACATCTTGTGTTTCGTTAAATCACTTATCATTAACCAAAGGTGACATCTAGAAGATAATTGTATTTCCCAAGGATCCGGACAATAATCGATTGGTTAAGAATATTGGCAAGATAAAGCCAAATCGAATAGTCTATATCAATAAAAGAACCAAATTACAATTAAACAAAGTCCCACTTAAAAGGAAATGTACATGGATGGATAGTATATAAAGCTCCGAGTAAATTATTGCTAAGAATTATGAACAAACAGCCGTAAACATGTAACGCATATTAATAGCGTGTTGTGCGTTCATGCAATCATAAAATCACACAACGATAATTCTATGCGCAAACCACCTTGACATTTATCAGCAAATGTCTTCAATAGAAGATCTAAAAAATATCTGTGTGTAAAAACTTGTATGAAAATATAAACAATAATAATATTTCTCCAGCAATTACTAAATTAATTAAATCCTCACTAAATAATCAATAAAGTATCAAGTTTCATGTTAGTTCTTAAAGGAAATAAAATTATAATTTACTTTTTTTATCAACATTTATACAAGTATTTGACTTTAAACTAAACTTGCCATTACAAAGTTGTTTAAATTATTTAATTTAAAACATAAAAAATAATTTTGATATAATTTAAAATTTTGTTGTTAGCTTTTAAATATTACTTTATTTATTAGTCAAAAATAAGTCATACTTATTTGACATTCAGAAATGATTAAAGTGAGGAAAACATGCAACGACAAGCCGCGGCATTCTTGACTTGCCGTCTTCATGTTAATTAACACTTGACATCAAAACTTTATGTAACGCATGTTTTCTAGCAATTGACATTTGTACAAGCGAAGGCAAGCGATCTCTACCTCTCAACTTAACAAATACATTTTCTGATCTGGTAATTTATTTCTGTTTTGATAAATACCCTCATATAGATTGGGATTTAATTACTCAAAGTGTCTTCTGTTATAACCAGGTGTTTGCATTTGTCTATCATAGCTAACTACTTTATATAAATGTGTAATTGTTATATTTTGGTAAAATCTTCTATTGTTACTCATTTCCAGTAAGTTGTAAGAAATAGCATCCAATTGTCAATAACAGTAACCTTTGCAGAAAATCTTCTTACGTTAAATCAATACCGACAAAGAGATGGTGGGAGGAGGTAAATACTTAAACGCGTATGTTCTTTTTATTCTACAAATTCTATTTATACATCTTGTAACATAAGATTTCCTATCATAAAATTGTCAACTAATTTTCCCATGTTATCTATAAATTCCACATCCGTTTTCGATTTGGTATTGATGCAATTGATTGTAATTGGGTATTGCCGTATATTAATTTCTAGTATAGAATTCTAGCGGTCTTAAGCTTGAGCTCTGAAGAGTTAAGCTAACCCTGAGTTGGACTACACTATGTCTTTCTCTCCGGCATTAACTAGTTGTGTGGTAGGCAATAGCACCAAATCTAGTAAGGAAGACTAGTCAATGACAGACAGCATTTTGCTAAATCTAGAATGAAAGCTCTGCCAAAGGCCCTCCCGATACTCCGCTACTAATGATATTATGTAATGCAGGCAGCATAGTGCAGTGCGCCGAGTGCGGCACGCGCACGATGGGCAACAAGTTGTCGTCGTGCTCCTGCGCGCCCATCCTCCGCAAGGCGTACCGCTATGAAGACAGCCCGTGGCAGAACTCCCGACGACGTGACGGACACTTATTAAGGTAGGTAAGATTTTGCGTGCGATAGTACACATCAATGCAAACTGACAGACGGTTTCCATTTGTCTTCAAAGAACATTAAATTTGGAATCATTCGAATACTTAATTTCTTAATTCTCAACAGTCTTAAACTGGAATTTCTACGTTTTTTTAATAACTGGTATAAGGTAACTTTGTAGCCTGTTCTTTTATGTAATCCTGTTAACAGGCTTGCACATGATCGTGTTTGTCGTTGAGCGCAGAAGCAATCTTATAGTTTTATAATATTGATCAACAATTTAATCTTACTTAATCACAGATATCGCTTGCAGCAGATCTTTTATTAGGTAGTTGGAAAAGTTTTAGTTGTGTGCAAAATTTTGTGCTGATAATAAGAGCAAATAAGAGCTGGTAATACATAGGTTCCCAAAATGTATTGGAAGGAAAACAGTTAGTATAACGGAAATCATCAAGACGGTGCAAATGTAATTTGTAGTTCCATTGTCATCACATCTTAACTCAATAGCCTCGAAGTTTCTAAACAGATTTCCACAACACAACAACAATCTCTAAGGGATGTATAATTAAGTCTTATGGTAAATAAATAGAGCACCATATCATATTAGCTATGCCTTTTTCACCAAAAATGGTGGTCACTTGCCACAGAGAAATGAAACGGCATTTTATATTCATATACAGAAAAACATAGAGCACTTAATTATTATCAAAACTTGTCAAAGTCCATAGTAAATGCATAAAGGTTAAGTTTTAAAATGTACTTCATAATGAGGCCGGCAACAAATTAAATATTTGAATGTGAGAACTCTCATGTGCCAGCAACGTAATTAGCAGCATCAAACAAGCCGGGCCTAGTGCAAATTGTTTATATTATAACTTTACTCCTAGCAGATGTGGAAAATAATACTTATTAAAGTCTAGCTGCAACTAATATGCACTAGTTATAAAGTTAAACGAACTACGTTCAAATAATAATTGTTTTGTCGAATAATCAACTCGATGTCGTTATATTGCTTTATTAAAGCAACGTAAGGGAATATTAGTAATAAACATTGATCATACATAAACGCAACACATTTTAAAAAAGAGATATATTCTATTAAGATGCGCTATGGACAATTTAATGAAGAATTTCATAGCATTATAAGGATGTTTTCTATACAGTATCATCTACTAGAAACAAGTTATAAATTGTTTTGTTTAGTAATGTACCGTTCAACATTAAACATTTTATTAACGATTTAAGTATTATAGTAACATGAGAACTTGTAACTTGCAGACTTTGGGCGGAGGTGTTCCACGTGTCCGCAAGCGGCGCGGGCACTGTGAAGTGGCAGCAGGTATCGGAGGACCTGGTGCCTGTCAACATCACCTGCATACAGGACTCGCCCGAGTGCGTGTTCCACATCACGGCCTACAACTCACAGGTCGACAAGATCCTCGACGTTAGACTACTGCAGCCAGGTAAAACTACACATCAACCATATTTACATTCTTCCTATTCTTTCTTATAGAAAGGTATCAAAGAGAGGAATAGATTTAACCTATCTCTTGCTTTGTGCGAATGGTGTTAGATAATTTTCCAAAATCCATATCAAAAACTGGAATATTAATAATAAAATTACATTTTCAATTAAACTATGTTTGGCAATATATTTAAAGCAACACTTTTCTTTATTAAATATTATTGTAATTTATTCCATCTTATACTTTATTTGGTTAGTTAGATGTGTTTAAATCTTGTTTATTGTAATAAAGCCACAGTTCACGCAAAACACTTTTTTAATTAAACGCTTTTATAATAAACTCGTATTTTAACGCTACAAATACTTGTTAGTAAATGGGAGGACTTTGTTTTAATAAATTAAATAAGCACTGAATTAAATTGTAAAATATTAACATCATCTAACTTTGATTGCACATTTATAAATGTAATTATTGAAAAATCTTCTCCATACCCATAAAATTTACAAACATTCTCTGACCGTTCGAGGTAAAATAAGAAGTACAGAACCATGATAACTTCTCAACAGTATCCCAATAAAAAGGTTAGCTAATCTCTCGGACAAAATAGACTGAGGAATCCCGATCAGCTATTTATACTCCACCTAAAATTCTGGATTCCACGTGTCATTTTAGATGGAGACGTGTTTACATTTGCCGTCACAAAAGATTCAAATGCAAGATAGTATTAAAATTATTAATGCCTTGCTTTACTTGCCATCTTACTAACATTATAAATGCGGATGAAAATAAATCCATAACGGCTGCATGGTTCTCGCTAAAATTTGCATAGATTTAGAACATAGTCTGGAAGAACGCATACGCGTATCCAAACTTTGTACATTTCTAATATGATTCTAGTTTTTTATTTCTTGACTAAAACGATTACGGGTCTTTTTCCAGTTACTTAATATTCTGGCTTATATTATTCCAGTACTGTAGAACAGAAGTATTGGCTTGACATGGACTCTTTGCCTCACTGGCGCCAGTTATTGTTTCCTTTATTCCAGTTGTATTCCATCGCTGATTATGAGTGCTTCTGTCCTACTATACTGTAATAATGTAAACTAGACATTACTCGTATATTTAACTTCTATGCCTATTTTACTATTTTTAGAAAACAACTATTTTAACTAAATGTTTTTTTTTTAATTACGAAATTCTTCTACACAAAATACGCATTACTAAAATACTAGTTCATTTTAACCACAAGTTTTAAAACTCTGCAAAAAGAGCATTTGGAATTTTAAATAACGATTCTTAAAGCAAAGTCCTCTGATATAAAATTTAAAAGTTTATCCCAAGTGTGGCTTCATACGGGGTCGTTTTACGAAAGCAAATCGAAAAATGCGCCGCCCGCCACTGTAACCCAGTTTTAAAATTACACTAGATAGTAACGCGGGTAATCGACCGAAATCTGTACCAACACGCAGCTATTGTTAGGTACATACTTGACTTTGTAAAGCTTCTATTTTGATTTTAATTACCACCAATCTTTAAATACAATTTGAACATCCTGTACATTAATTCTGAATATTTTAATACGTGTCCTATTTTGATGCTAGTTTTTAAAACTGTTCGGAATTCTTTGAAGAAATTTTTAATAGCAATATGTGTTTTGTTATGTTTGAGTGTTATCAATTTTGAACACTATTATTCCAGGTACCCGCATCGGACAAGCGTCGGAATGCTTCGTATACTGGAAGGACCCCATGACTAACGACACTTGGGGATTGAACTTTACTTCTCCCATTGATGCCAAACAATTTAGAGAGTGTTGTGTAAGTTCTTCTAATTCTTAATTCTAATTTTTTTTTGCTTCAGAATCTATTAAATCTAGGCACATACTTTTATTTGTTTTTATTTAAATTATATTTTTACAATTATGAAGACATCATATACAAAGTAATATTACATTAATTTTTTTTTATTCCAGTCACCATCATTCAAGTTTTCGCGCAAAGCGTCTTCGAGTTACAGCCTAAAATTAGAACCACCAGGAAGCAAGCAGAAGTTCAAAACTAAAAGGAAACCAGTCTCCACACCAGCCAGTCCCAATCGCTCAAGGTACTTGAAGATATGAAGTCAAAACACTTTTCAATACAAATGTGTTACGATAACATTATATTGTTTATTTCCTAGCTTGACCTATGGCCGTGAGCCGCAATGTACCTGCATGTCCCAAGAGCAATATGCCAGATTAAGAGCTCAAGATCCGCGATACCGTAAGTACTAGTACAATAATTACTACAAATAAATAAAGCTTTGCCCCTAAGTGCTAATTCTTCCAATGACTTAGGTTCATCAACTCTGCCGCGTACAACGACTCGCGCTATAGAAACTGACGCAGCTGCTGCGGGCACCGCTAATAGATCCGAAAAGGTCGCCGCTGCCACCTCTTCGACTTCGCTGTACGACAATGTCGCTAATTCACAACCGACTCAGCCACCGCCTAAACGTAAGCTTGATTTATTTTTGCTTGTAAGATCCAAACCATTTAAATTAATAAAAATATGAGTAAAATTAGAGCAAAGTTGTGATCTCTCCATCTTACTAATATTATAAATGCATAGGTTTAGATGGATGTTTGTTTGTATGTATCTATTTCTAGATAACGGAACGGAACAGCTGAACGGATCTCGATGAAATTTGGCATACATATAGAACATAGTCTGGAAGAACACATAGGCTACTAATTATGTTTTTTTAATTCCGCGCGGATGGAGTCGCGGGCGACCACTAGTTTGATATAATTGCGTCCCCTACGTAGTAAATGTTGCTCTACTAATAAAAAACAATCTTGTTGTTGATCTGGTATTTTATCACACATAATAATAAAGATTAAAGAACATCATTTATAGCTACAGTAAAAACATAAAAGTATTTGCTTTTAACTGAATCTCAATAGCGTGGAAATAGGTTTACGACCTTTTCAATGACGTTGTACGTATTTTAGAAATAGTTTTAATGAATGATTCAATGGGAAACTTGCTGTAGATTTATGCACCGAATCACTTATACAGAAATATAATATCTAAGATTCTTTACATAGTGAAATTGAGAGAGTTGAAACTCGTATATAGAATTTACCATTCATGCTTTAGAAGATATTGCGTTATTAAAAGGGTAATACTTTTGATGGAAAGTACAATTATCTTTTGCTAAATATATGTATTATAGTTTATTACAAGGAATTAA